TTTTTTTTTTTTTTTTTTTTTTTTTTTTACAATGTGATATTCATCTTCTGCTTCAATTTAGGCAAGCCAAGGTTTAAATGTCAGAGAACTATGTGTAAGACTTCTTTTAGCTGGATTCTGCCTTCACACTTACCAACAGGTTAGTTTCCTGTAATTTTACATTAAAATTTACACCTTTTAGCCATTATCTAAAACTCATTGCCCATGTTTAGAGCATAATATCAGTATCTGCCTCTTGAAAACTGAACTCAGTATATACAGGGCACTGCTATATATGAACAATGAAGGGATTCCAACTGAATTACCTAAATTGTACTGTGTAAATAGAGTTAAAACAAATTTGTTTGTGGATATATAAATTGTTAACTCCCCATGTTTGCAACGAATTCTCGACATACGAAAAATAACTGCAATCACAAAAGAATAAAGTAATTTTATTAATCAATTGTGAGTACAATTCTGTTTTTCCCTTGATTTTTCTCTCCTTATTATCTCCGTGATTCGAGGGCTGGAGCAGCATGTTTGTCGAATGTGTGTTTGTCGAATGTAGTATGATGCAGACTTTCTAAGATGAAAGTATCCCGTGAATTTATGGGACATCCGAGATGATCTCCATTTTTGAGATATTTTTTTAAGAGATTATGTAACCCTTTTTATAGGAGTGACCTAGGGTTAAGAGTAAAGTAGCCTCCAAGTTAAGGTTTTGGTAGAGTAGCTTGCAAGCAACCCTGATAGATTCCTAGAATTTCAAGAGTTGTCTTTTAGCATCTTGATTTAGGATTTAGCTTGATTCGTTAAAATTTCGATGTTTACACCCCAATATAAGAGAAGTTTCTAATGTACAGTGGTGAAGGTAGTTCACATATTACTCTAGGTTGCAGTTTCCAATCTCATGCGTGGTGCTATTTTTTCATTATTTTGAATTCCCTTTCTAGAATTTCTGGCTCCACCCGAGTATATCATAGTAATGAATTTTTGACTTTATTGTTTTTGGAAGGTTTCATACATGATACTACAAATGATATCACCAGTGACACATGCAGTTGGCAATTGTGTGAAGAGAGTGGTGGTCATTGTATCCTCGGTCATTTTTTTCCAAACACCTGTCTCACCAATTAACTCTCTTGGTAAATTTTGTTTCTCTAGTTAATGCACTCTTTTTCTAGTACTACCACGTCAGTTTCCTTTTTATGTTCTGTTTGTTCGTAAAGTAGAAGGGAAGCCTTGGCGTAACTGATAAACTTGCTGTCAGTTGACCAGGAGGTCACGGGTTCGCACCGTGGAAACAGCCTCTTGCAGAAATGCAGGGTACGGCTGCATAGAATAGACTCTTGTGGTCCGGCCCTTCTCCCGCATAACAGGAGCTAAGCCTTGGCGTAACTGGTAAAGTTGTTGCCATGTGACCAGGAGGTCACGGGTTCGAACCGTGGAAACAGCCTCTTGCAGAAATGCAGGGTACGGCTGCATAGAATAGACTCTTGTGGTCCGGCCCTTCTCCCGCATAACAGGAGCTAAGCCTTGGCGTAACTGGTAAAGTTGCTGCCATGTGACCAGGAGGTCACGGGTTCGAGTAGTGGAAATAGCCTCTTGCAGAAATGCAGGGTAAGGCTGCGTAGAATAGATTCTTGTGGTCCGTCCCTTCCCCCGCATAACGGGAGCTTAGTGCACCGGGCTGCCCTTTTTTTTTTGTTCGTAGAGTGAAGTTATTAGTTGACTTGTGAACTGCTCCATATTCTCAGGGACTGCGCTAGCTCTAGCTGGAGTCTTTCTTTATTCAAGAGCAAAGAGATTACAGCCCAAGCCAAAAGTTGCATGACAAGTGAAGAAAAGTATCAAATTTGAATTTGCAACTCTGTAAAGAATAGGAAAAACTCTCATTAGGATATATTCATTTCAATCTTTTTATACCTTTGATTATTGTTAATGCAGTCCTTTTCTCATGTCCCTTTGAATTCCACAGCAACAGCGAGGTCTAATTCTGAAAACCAATACTCCACATTTTATGCGTCTTCTCCATCATTAACAAGTCAAAGCTCTCTAATGAAGCTCTTCCCCAAAATACAATTTGACTCTTTTAAGTCTTAACACAAGGGATGGAAGGATATATAAAACTATTTCTGGTTAGATAGACAATGATCAACTTTACCACATACCATATATTTTATATGGCATGACTTTCTATTGTCACTTTTAACAGTTTTCTGGGTTGTTCAGCAACCTAGAACTTCAGCCTATTTTAACAACCCAGTGAATTCCCACGGGTGGGGTCTAGGGAGGATAGAGTGTACACAAACCTGTTTCCGAAAGAACCCCGGCTCACACTTTGAAAGGAAATATAACCTTGAAATCGATATGGTTGCATACTTGCATTGTGCATTCAATGGTCTTGACATAATCACTGAATTAAAAGAATTTGCACAATCTAGGAACTATGCAATGTTGCTTAATATATACAGTCGCTCATTACATTCAACACATTCGATAAATTTGCTACAAGTACTATTACCAATTCAGAGGCGAACATACCTCTCGCTTGGCATTCCTCCAATTTGTGTCCAATAAAATAATGTGAATGCAATAAAGTGCTCATCTTGCACCTCCTTTTTAACTTAAAAACAAAAATAAAGAAAGCCAAGTTTTGCTCATGGCTTTCGAAGTAATGCCTGAACTACTGAAATTAGCTCATGCTAAAGACCTAATGAACAATCAGGATTCAAGAGAATCAACACAAACAACGCTTCAAAGTGGGCTTTTCTTAGCAATGTATGATTGCTATAGTACCATTAAACCGAGCTTGATGTCACACTGTTTACATTTACATCAGTCAAAAACTTTCCACTTTCAGCTATCTACTTTCAATACGCTAAGAGCTTCTATCTGAGAACATTGTTTACCAAAAAATGCAGTACTGATGATAGTTGAACCAAAGCAAAAAGGGTCCTTTTTCTTCCTGCAAATCCTACGGTAGCTACACACATCAAAATTAACACAGAATATAAGATATGCCAAGTTAGGCCCTTGTTTCGACGTCTTCAGGAATCATACCTTCTTCCTCCTCCCCATTGTAAGCACGAGGTTCATTGCCAAATTTCCCATCACCTTGCCATCTAGGTGGAGATTTTTCTTTTTCCCAGCCCTTTTGGCAATCACCAGCTGATGGAGATCGATTATCAGAGTAAGAGGGTGATCGGTGTTTTGAGGCCACTGGGGATGATCCACTGCGCCCCATCATGCTTTCATGAAAACTGCGTCCCACTGGGGCTTGACGAGGAGCCTGATCAAATCTTTCAGCACTACGGCTGCGACTGCGTTCCCTGCTTTTTGTATCACCCCATCCTGAACCTTTATTCGGGCTTCTGCTCCGACTTCGACCACGTCTCTGTGAAGCCTGCATCATTGTTTCATGGAAGCTACGAGCGTGGAAGCTCGGTGGAGCGTCGGTATCACGAGAGCCATGACCATATCTATCACTAAATCACAACAAACTAGTCAGAACCATGGGGCAAAAGCGGAAAGAAGAAATCCGTATATAATTAAATACACAGCTAAGGACCTGTCACGTGAATCCGACTCATAATCACGTCCACTTCTTTCCGATGATGGTGCTCCCCAACCACCCCTTCCTCCATCTCTTCCACCATAGCCGGAATCATAACGTCCCCCACGTCCTCCTTCACGTCCACCTGGGCCAGAACTCCATTGACGCCTAGCCCCTCCCATACCACCACCTCGAGAAGCCATATCACGTAGTTCAGTAGGCACTTGCTGATTTGCTCCTTCTAAAATTTTAATAAGATCTGAAGCATGCTTAGCATCCTGGTCACAAAAAAATGTGTAGGCCTCACCAGTCGCACCAGCCCGACCAGTTCTTCCTATTCTGTGTACATAATCCTCTACTCCGGTAGGAAAGTCAAAGTTGATCACCACCCTGCCACAAATGTTTCATCGAGTATTAACATACACAAAAGACATATCCTCCACCCCCACCCATTAAAAGAAGAAAAAAACTACTTGTTACAGAAGATTTATATGGATGCATTATATTTCAAGTATAAAACCATAAAATCCCAGGACGATGTTACACCATGCCGGAGTATATCTTATCTACCTAACAGAACAGCTAGAGTATCCTGGAAGCAAACAAAAACCTCACAATGTAATTTCTAGGACAAGATACCACGTAAACTTTACTCATGAGTCTACTTTTGCCAACTAAATCATGACATCGCACATTCACCTGTGATTTAGGTTACAAGAAAGGTATAAATTTGCAGCTTTGGCCTATGCTCTCTCAAAGTCGCCTAACAACCCCCAAAACAAAGCACACACCCCTCACAACTGTTCGCTTCTCATCAACTCATCAACTAAGGGGAAATAACATGGAAAGAGTATATTAAGACGATATCAATCCGAAGGCACACTCCTTAAGAAGGTGAAAGTATATAATATTCTTCCATTCAGTTAGCCATCAAAAGAGAATTGCCTGTGACCCATAAATATTCAAGCATACTACAAAATTCTTAAATCCGGCAACCTGATATCTTTGACATCCAAGCCCCGGGCAGCAACATCTGTAGCGACAAGAACGGGGGATTTACCCGTGCGGAACTGGCTCAATACATGATCCCTCTCACCCTGAGATTTATCACCATGAATTGCAGCAGCTCCAAATGGGCGTGTAAGATTGCGAGCAAGTTGGTCACACATTTTCTTTGTTGCACAGAAGATTATGATTTTTGATCCTGGTTCTTGGGATCTCAAGATCTGGTCTAGCCGCCTTTGTTTCTCCATATATGACAAGACTTCAACGTACTGCACGTGAAAATTAAATCAATATAATGTAACCTCACTATGTCCAGTACAGGTTCTCCCTCCACAGGGCTCAGGGAAAATAGGAGAGGCATTCTGCCATGACACCTCAGTCCTCTTAACCCAGTTTAGGGGAGAGGAAGAATCTTAGACACATCTAATGAGCAATGTCCAAGAAAAGAAAACAGAAGTGCACCTGTGTTATAGACTTGTTTGCAACAAGTTCGTCAACATTCCCAATGTTAACCTGAACTGGATTAACCAATAGATCAGCTGCAATTTTACGGACCTCCTTTGGCCATGTCGCCGTGAACATCAGTGTCTGCCGTCGTGTTGGCACCTCTTTTACAATCTTCCTTATCTGAGGTTCAAATCCCATGTCCAGCATACGATCCGCTTCATCTAACACCAAGTAAGAAATTTGATCCAGCCTAATTCTTCTCATCTCCAAAATATCATTCAAACGACCAGGGGTAGCGACAACAATATCTACTCCCCTATCCAGATCTCGTAGCTGAGGGCCTTTTGGGGCGCCTCCATATAGACACTAACCAAAAACCATAAAGCATTGTCAATTTCCAAAAATATGTCAAAGCTGAGGGCATTTTGGGGTGAGTCAGTATCGACACAAACCAAAAACCATACAGTATTGTCAATTTCAAGAAATGTCTAACACAGATTCACTTGGTTCATCTGTCCCACACATTAGCATGTCAATATTAGTTAATTCTTCTACGGGCAGGTGCAGAAGAATATACTGCTGTAAAATTTATATAATCATTTGGTATATGGGGCTTAACCTTTTCGTAATGCACAACGCTATTGTGATGCATGGCTATTTACATAAACAAAATTCATGTTTGACCCCAAAAAAGAAGTCATATAACCATTTAAGGAGATTGCAGAGTACTAACCAACTGCGTATATTATAGAGCAACCCGAGAAACACAATGATTAACCACTAGGTTCACTTTTGACCAAACAACCATTTAAAAAGATCAGATATTAATACATTAGTGAGCCCAAGCATCAGTACTTTGAAATCAAAAGAACAATCTACTTCTAGTATCAAACTTTTACGTANGGAGATATGTTACTAGCAGCAGCTGGAGCACTATTGCTTTTAGGTACAGATGTTTCATCGCGGGAAAGCTCACTTCCTCTTGCAGTCTATAAAATGATGAGAAAAAACTTTTGTAAGCAAAACATGGAAGACAGTTTAGGAAACTGTTTGAGTGAGGGCAAAGATAAAATCTGCAGAGACCAGAAGCAGAAATCTACCGAGGCCGAAAACAAGCATATTCTTGCAAGTTCTAATTTGCCTTGAAAACTACCAGAGAGAACATGGGTCATCAATCTGAAATAGTGATTCTCAAAAATGACTATGGAATATCCAAGATACTATTCAACACAAATGTTTGTCTGATTTTCACTGTTGTGTGTCACTATAAGTCACCAAAGTTGGGGAGAGAGAGAGAGAGAGAAGAAAACTGAATTCACACATTAATTAGAAGTTTAGAACCAGATACCTTAATATCCTCACCAGAAGAAAGCTTGCTCCAGCCACCATTGCTACCTCTGTTGTATTCATTGTCATCATCACGGTCAGGAGGTTGACCTTGAGAAGGCCTTTGAACTGATGAACTTACAGATACCGATGATTTATGTTGTGGAGCAGTACCCCCATGGGAAGGAGCAACAGGCCTCTCATATTGGGTAACATTGGTCTCTGGATTCCAAAAATAGAGGTATCCAGTCTTACCATCAACCAGGCCTTTCCAAGGTTTTGGGAGGGTGGGGTCCTCTGGTGCGTAACGCGGACCAGCAGAAGATGCAGTTGCAGTAGCAGCCATATCAAGCTTCAATCTCGAATTACCTCTGGCACCAGAAAATCACACGACATCTTAAAAGCATGAAATGAGAATTAGAGTAAAACAAAACAATCATATACTGGAAAAGGACCCCATGAGTCACTTTTTTCATGCATTATATTCATGACCTTGAAGAATTGACACAGTGCTAGAAGAAAGCACTAATAATGTAATACAGTCAAAACAGCAAAATACAGGCTGCCCAAAAGAGAGATACAAGGCAAACTACACAACAGAAGAGAACACGTTACTTCATACTTCAAGAGTAGTATGTTACTTCAAGAGTAGTATATACGGTCTCAACAGAAACAAAGAAACACATCCAAATGTGCGCCTTGCAGAATGTAGGATTATTTTTTTTGTGTGGTAATCCCCTCCCCAACCTAAAATCCCTAGCCACCCAGACACCCAACTGTGACTCTTTCCCACACTGCACCCTTGGTGACTTGGACCTCAAATATATGGTTGGAGGCGAAGGGTCCTTACCAATAGGCTATCCCACCCTTGTAAACTGTCAAAGAGCACTTCAAGTACAAATATAGAAAACTGAATGGCTTTGCAGAGAACAGGAACCTCAAACGGCTATGGAAATAAATGCAGATAACAAATATAACACAACGAGATAAATTGGGAACAAGCTCCTTCCTTCAATCAAAAACCTGCACACATGCATGCATGTTCACGCGAGTGACACTAGTTCAAAAGCTTTTAAAATGTTGGAAAACAAAGCAAATTCAAAACCAATAACAAAACAAACAGTCATGAAAACCTAAAATCGCACATAAACTTGCTAAACTTACGAGCATTAAGGAATCAAATAACGGAAAACAACAGCTTCACAAGCAGAAAACTTTAGACCAAATAATCAAAAAAAAATGAGCCGATTAAAACCCTAGTATCATCATCTACTAACAAATATCTTAAGTCAAATGTCAAACATTGCAAGGATAAACTCAGATCTGAAGCATTGCGAGTAGAAATGAGAAATGGTACCTAACGACGTCGTTTCGATGACAATGAAATGAGTTGAACACCAACAAGTAGAGCCACAAACGATTCTCTCACCTCCGATGATCTCTCCCTTCCGTTCTCTCGCTGTGATAAATAATAATTTATATAAAAATAAATATATAAAGTTATGTATGTAAATGTGGAGCAGTGAGAAACAGAGAGACCTAGGAAAATCGTAGGCGATATTGAGGGGACGGAAAATCGGCTGAGAGAGGGATATTTATAAGAGAGCACAGAAATGCTCCAACAATAGTGCGTCCTGATGTCAGAGTTAATTAACCATGGTTAGGTTAGTATTCTGTAAAGTGTAAACTATGACTATACCCAAATAGAAAACAGCGTCCGTCTGTCAACAATTCTCTACCAACAAACATCCTCAGTGAGGAAAAATATCCTGTCCGTTGATAGCAGTTTATTTGATACTTATTGTTTAATTAGACGTGGAGAAAAAATGTAATTAACTTGTGCAATTAGCAATTGTTGAACTTTTAGAATAATAGCAATAGAAATACGAATTAGATGGAAGGTATAATAATAACCAGCAGCTAAAGCCCTTCATCAGTAGATGACCACTAGAATCCTAAAACTAACTCCTAACGGGTTAATCTCACTTTAGTGCGCTGTAGAAATATTCACAACTTCCCCCTAACCTACAACCTTAATGCTCGACCTTCACATTACTCTTATTATTTGTCATATTTATCTCTTACACGTCCTTTAAGAAAAATTAAATAGGATGAAATTTTGACTACTTTACTCTTATTCATGTCTTAATATTTAAATTTTTTGGGGTATTTGAACAAAGTTAGGTGTTTATAGTATTCAAGGATAATTATTATTAAGAATAAAAAAGGAAAAAATAATTAATTTTGCTTTGAAATTCTAAAGTGACAAATAATTTGAGACATCTATTTTTATCAATCACGACTGTTAATATAAGATTGGAGGGATTAGATAGAAAAATATCAGTTTCGCCTCGTCATTGAGCCGTCAATGTGAACACAATGATCTCTAACTAGGACTAGAAACCAATTTGATTAGATCTCAAAATATGGTAGCTTTTAAGTTTTAACCGTAACAGATTTGATAAGAAGTTTATGAGCTTATCGTGATTTAAGTCGAGATCTGGCAGAGCGACAATTCGGATTCATTAAATCAATTTCCTATTCAAGACTTTAGGATACAGGATAGGGGAGTTGTTGTAACTTGTTATGTTGTTCCATTTTAGATTGATAATTATAGAGGAGACAGATTTAATTTGAAATATAAAAATATCTATACTATATTAAAAGTACGAAGACCCTTAGCGAAATGTCGTTCGACTTTTTTACCCTTAAAAAATCGACTTTACACTAGATAAAATTGTAATTTAAGTTGCCTTCCTAATATTTAGGAATAAACATTCAATTACCATTTATGCTAATTTTCCTAAAGTTAGAACTTTAAAATCAACTAGAATTAATTTGTTAATCTTTCCTTATTAGATTGTATTACAATTTTATTTGCAATAGGAAGACGTGATTTTAATACAATAAAGACTTTTGTTTCAAAAGGAAAAACAATACTAGCTTTTTACCACGTCTAATCTCCATATCATTTGTAAGATTTTAAATTAAAACGTTAAAAAAGAAGAAGAGAAGATTAATCAAGTACACTACTAAATTGATTAATTTCTAGAACACATAATAACTTACATATCGTTCTATCTATCTATATTAAATGCACGAAGGCCCTTAATGAAATATCGTTCGCCTTTTTTTACCATTTAAAATTAAACTTCAAATTAAACAATATCGTAATTTAGTTATTATCGTAATATATAGTACTTTGAAATCAACTAATTTGGTTATAAAATATTTCTTGTGTTAAATTATGTAGGAAGTCCTAATATTTAGGACTTTAATATAAATATTACAGAAAGCTCGGTGCACTATATGTGCGGAGTCCAGATAAGGCCCAGACCACAAAGATCTATTATCATTTACTTATATTGTTTGGGAGAAATAACAATATTACATTGTCTTAACATAAATATTGTTTGGGGAGAAATAACAGTATTACATTGTCTTTTGCTTATATTTGTTTACGACAATTTTTATATGAAATATGTTTGAACTTATAATTCTAAGGGGAGGACACTATATATTCTTACTATTAAATTAAGATGCATGTACTTAATTAACTATTTTTCTAATAATTAAATATAATTTTTAAATATTATGCGAAAATATCGATGAAGAGAAAAAGATGTTATTCGAATAAGAAGGAGTTTAAAAAAGTATCTCTATTTTCTATATCATTGTAAAGGCACGAATCCCGAATGCAAAAATAAATAAATTATTTAATAATATTTACGTAATTTTTTAAAATTATATACTCATTGATATAGGTACACGCGCAAAGCTCGTACCCTAAAACTAGTACTAAATAAACAAAGGTACTACGATAATTTGACTAATCAAAACTAATATCAAATGGTGTGAGAATATGTATGTCAACATTTAAGTTACAGATCGAAATGGAATATGACACATGATAACGAGAATTGTGGACACTAGGGGTGTCAAATGGGCGGGTTGGATCAATTTTGGGCGGGTCAAAATGGGTTGAGTCAATAATTGACCCGCCCAGAAGTTACTTGGGCTAAAATGGGTTGGGTCAAGATGGGTTAAAATTCGGGTCATAACCCAACCCGCCCAACTCTTATTAAACTTTAATTAATATGTGTTATTTTCTTATAAATTGTATAATTACTAAACAAGGCTTTTTTGCTTTTGTATGGTCATATTTAAAATATTAAACAAAAAATAAAATTATTTCTAAGATATTTTGATAAACTTACTCGTGGATCAATTTGTGCTAAAAATTAGCCTAACTTTAATTGGGTTGAGATCGATTGGATCAAGCTGGGCTAAATTCAATAAATACGCGGGTTAATAATCAACACAACCTTGGGCGGATTGGGCGAGTCATTTGGGCTTGGGCCAAATTTGACAGCCCTAGTGGACACTAAGCAACGTACCCCTTAATAACCCAACCAACTCCCAGATGAACTACCTTCCACTAAACACACAACATTGGAGAACACTGTCCTTCTCCAACTCTCATCTACTACAACAACCGATAAGACTAAACACAATACCAATGCAGAATCCCAACCATCATCCAAATCTTCCACCACCAATCTATATCTCCCAGTTTCCACCAGTGTAAACATATCCCCAGTCCTGGCTAGAGATGGGACTCCAGGATTATGCGCTCACATTCACGATGGAACTAGACCATCAAGACGTGATTATCATGTTCAGAACCCCATGAATATAGGCCAGATAGTAACGGAGGGCATGCAACTAGACACGAATCTATACAACCTGTATCTATGGGTCATGCATGCACCTTCACTCATGCATCAATACCAAACATCTCCAGCCCCAATCCCACCCCAGATTCCCCCCTACCACCCATTCTCCACCTCTCTGAACTCCATGGATCTCCCTTTCTCCCCACCACAACAACCATGGAATCATTTTGTTCTATGGATCCAACCACGACAAGCACTCATGACTCCAACGCCACTACATGGTCAGCTCCACCCAACGATACCACCAACCCCACCCAACGGTCCCCCATCAGCTCCAGTACTCTCTCCCAGTCAAGAAGGACTCGAGGAAATAGCAAGGCTCGAAGTAGCAGCAACAATGGCGGAAATGAGGGAAACACTGCCCATACTGTGTTGGCTCAACGAGAACAAAACCTACACCCTCAATGCAGGGGCGGAACTAGGATTCGGAGTGTGTGGGTTCTAAAATTTAAAATAAGACTATGACCTAAAACTAATATACAATATCAAACTGACTAAAGAATGAGTATCGATATTTAATATATATTTAAAAAGTAACGAAAGACAAACACAATATACGAATATAAACATTATCATTTCAATTGCACTCGACGAGTTGTCATGTTTTGAAAACGATCAATGATTGCATCATTAGATACACTTTCAAATACTTCATCCTCTATAAAATAAACTAAACAATCATTCAAAAAGTCATCACCAATCCTGTTTCGAAAATCATTTTTAATAAACTTCATTGAAGAAAAATTAGGAGGATATTCTGAAATTGGTTTTCTTTTAGCAGGATCGGGCTCATAATCCCATCCTTTATCCGATGCTTGGGAGGGATTAATATTGTTATTAATAATTGGACATGGAGAACTTGTCAAAGGAGAGCTAGAAGAAGCCGCAGAAGCTTGAGCTTTGTAAAAACTCGTGATCATATCATCGACTTTTGCTAGAAAAACCTAAAAATCACAAAACACAAATTCACTTTAGTCCTAAAATAAAATCCAGTTAGATTCCGAAATGTTGGCTTATAAAATTATTAATAACTTTAGTCCTAAAATAAAATTCCTTCCATCAAACCCACATCCCTATTTTCAAGTAAATAATCCTATTTTCATCTATGCATAACAGCATAAGAGCAACTAATTGATGTAAATTGGATTCTCGGTAAAAATTAAAGATTAAAATCAAATTTTGCATAAATTATCAATCATTCAATAAGGTAAAAATTAAAGATTAAGACAGTGATGAAGCAATAAGGCAAATGAAAGAGAATATCGGAATCGGAGTTGTACTTACACGATCGGCAGCGAAAGTCGGCAGAGAAGAAGATACGTCGGCGTCAAGGTTCGCCGGAGAATTCAGGCCATTTCGGCTTGAATTCCTACTGACAGAGAGAAAGAGGAAAGTGAAAAGTGGAACGAAGAGTAGTATTGATTATAGCTACTATTATCCGACAGAGACCAATCACACAGCGCACAAGGCACAATAAAGTGCTTTCTACTACCTCTTTACTTTATGTAATAGTGCAGTCTTTTTCCTTTTAAATACAAAAATTTAGTATTTTAAAGGAAAGTAAAGACCAATCACTCACGCAGCACAAGGCACAATAAAGTGAGTCCGGAACTAAAATGTGGTTTTCTTTTACTTAAATTATACAAATAGGTGTTAAAAAAAATGTTACATTTTTATATATAGCGTCACAATACCGGGCGCTATACATTAACAATAACGGAACCGTTAATGTATAGTGTCAGATATTGTGGTGCTATACTGCAAAAGCTGACATTTACAGGTATAGCGCCGCAATACCTAGAGCTATACATTAACGGTTCCGTTACTGTATAGCGCCAGGTATTGTAGCGCTATAATAGATTTTCCTGGTCCCACTAATAATTTCGGACTTCAATAATTCAAAAGCGTATAGTGCCAACGTTTTTGGCGCTATACATATAAAAAAAAACGGCTAGCCATTTCCTATATAAAGAGGTTAGAATTGTATAGAAATTCATCCAAAAAAATTTGGTAACTCTTGTTGAAACGTTTATTGTTCTTAATTTCTCCAACAGTATTTCATTATGTCTGAAGAACGTAGAATAAGAGTTTCATTATATTGGGGAGGGTTAGGTTGTGATGAAGAATAATTTTGTGGGCTACAGTTTACCTGCTCAGTGTCAATAGAATACGATAAATTGATATCGTTATTATATAAAAAACTGAGTGTGAGGAAACGTTCAGTTATAGTTAAAGTAACCGGAAGATATCTGTATTCCGTCACTCCGCAAGGGGTTGGCTTTTACTCGGAGTTTAACATCGACGATGATGAAACTTTGGGTGATTTTTTGAGGACTCCGGACGAATGTCGGGAATTTCTTGTAATCACAATGTTGGAGATGTACGTGAAGGTCGAAGACGTTCCAAAAAACGAGGTTGTGCGTAGCAGAGATAACCCTCAGTCATCGGGTGGTTATTCTGGAGCAGTTTTTGCCGGACAGGTTCCGAATGAAAGAGTTTTCATTGATTTAAACTTATCACCGGCGGCGAATGAGCAACGAGAAAATAATTTATACCCCGATTTCCATAATTCACTAGACGAGTGATAAGCTTTAATTTTCATTTGTGTTAATTATGTATATTTTTGGCGTACTTGAATTTGTATTAACGCTCATATATTTAATAGGGGGTACCGACAGGATATGAATTTTACAAGTGGCCCATCCGGTAGTCATCACCTAATTGAAAACGTCCATCATGGAATTTCATCACATTACGACTTGTAATTGAAGTGATATAAAACCATATGGATATCATTTATTAATTCAGTAGCTAATATTTTTGTTGGTTGTGCAGTGAAAACGAGCAAGTTGAACCACCTGTACTCACTCAATTGACGGAAAATGACATATTACATCGGGATCTGGCAGATACACAGAGTGAGGAACAGAACAGTGATTACGATAACAATGCCGATGAATCCGAAGACGAGACACCCTTTTTTCGTGAGGATGGTGATGAACAGGATGAGAAGGAAGGACCTGGTTTGAAGAGAGACCCACCTAGACGAAGAGTGTACGAGTCCGAAGTGCCGTTTCATTCAAGGGAGATTCCTTACATTGATAACTTGCCAACCGTGCCGGATGTGGAAGCTCTCACAAGGGATTTTGATGAAATTTAGACAACAATGTAGGATGAGTCTAGACCAACGGTGTTTGCAAAGAGGATGCTTTTTCCTGATAAAGCACGCTTAAGCAGGGCTTGTAAAATGCACAAAGTAAAAGAGTGTCGTGAGATGCAGATATGGGAGTCAAGTCCGATGGGTATACAAGGTTGTTTGTCGCAGGTGGTTTTGGCCATGTAATTGGATGTTGCGTGCGACCAA